TGTAGTTTACAAATATATATCACTTCAATGCAAAGATAAATCGAGGTATTACCAAACACCATATTTGCAGCACCTAAGTTAGGTTGGGTGTAAGAAAATCAATTTAATGCTTCGTAAACGATTTATACTATTAAATATATTGACTCCAAAAAATTCAGTTAGTTATTCTAATTGTCGGCATTTACATTTTATTCTTAGGCAGTCATGTCACACAAGTTACGTAGGGGAAAGTCAGGTAGCCCAGGACAACGGGTAACTAGACACTTGATGTGCAGCTTAAACTAAAGAAGCTATGTGATTTTAAATACTATAAAAACATTATTCGAGTGAAAATATGACATATGAAAAATATCTATCAAAATATGCCTAAGCGATTGGCTGAAAGTGTTTATACTTTCTTCATGAGATACTGCTTTCCACAACCAGAAGAGCGGTGTATCATTTGATTCAAATTTTAATATATTTTATACATAACTTTTATACATTTTAATACATAATTTTTATGTATTATTTTTTGTATTATTTATATATTTTATGTAATATTTTATTACATAGTTTTTAGGTAAACTAATAAGTTTTTATCGATTAAAGATAAAATAAAATTAATTAATGATTTAAATAAAAAGACCTTAGATTTGAAATCAAGTGTTTTTAAAATGTTTATTTTCATTGGTAAAAAGCTATTGTTTATATATCTAAATGATGACATTTTCATTCCCATTCCTTATATATTAGAGGCAGTTTTTAAAGGCAATATATGTTAAATCTGTTGAGAACAGTTCAATGCTAAATATACCCTACAATTTTGAAACATTTTTTTTAACATTTTTTCTTTTATGTTTTGTATATTATTAAGGTAATGAATAATTATTTTTTTTTTAAATTCGATTGATAAATATTTCTATTTAAAAAAAAGACTTTTGAAATTTTGTTTTCTTTTGTACATGTGTATAATCTTTTTTTTTTTCTTTTTTCGGGGCTACCCGACTTTCGGTCCGACGGGGCTACCCGACGGGGCTACCCGACTTTCCCCTACAATATTACACGTAGTTACCTTGATAATAAATTTAAGTTAAAAAGTTTACTAGCTGACTTGTCCCATATACTTCAACTTTAGACCTAAGTGTTTATTATCTTACTCACATCAATTTTTGTAACACTTTGCAGAAAGTTATAAAGACAATATGAAAAATGATATACTTCTCTATCATGTTTACACACAAATAAAAAATCAACAACCTAAGTGTTAAAGACCAGTGTCTTAGTAAATGAGGCCATTCTGAGGCTTTGAGAAATCTAAGTTAACAATGAGGTCAAAAATTCTGAACAACTAAACTTAAGTTTTACTTGAAAAGCTAATAATGAAAATAAAGTGTTGCAGAGCTTGGAAAGAAATATTGTTAACTTAAAACAACACGTAACACCGATCTGAAGGTTTTATTTGCAAATATTGGGTTTGTCAGTCGTGTTTATTCAAAAATGCAAACTCGGTGAAGTCTTTTTTTGCATGAAACAATGCTGTAAACTTGCTTCAGATCATGAAGCAACTCAAATTTAGTAAATTAAAAATAGTTTTTTTTAATTTAATTAAAATAGTTTTTTTTTTTTTTTTTTTTTTTTTTTTGTAAACTTAATATATAACAAGATTAGTTTCCGCCGATAAAGTTAAACTTTAAGTTAAACTGTCTATATTTTTATAAAAAAATTTAATACTTAAGCTTGAAGTGAAAAAGCAACTTTTTAACTTGATTTATTTTACCAGTTAAAAAGATAAACTTGTTTAAATTTTTTCAAAATATTTTAGGCAAAAAAACTACTGCTTTTTATATTAAATAAATTATATTAAAAAATTGCGTTTAAAAAACATGTTTTTCGCCAACTGAAATGTTTTTAGCTATATATCAGATAACCATAGTTCAAAATTTTCAATTCTGATATCTACAGTATCGGTATTCTTACCTAAAACATCTTTTACCGAAATAAAATGTTTACTAAGCAAATAACAATAAAGAATGGTCGTCGGTTTCAAATATTTATAAATAACTTTTTCTCACGCCTAATTAGAATAGCTTCAGACTAAAAAAGTTCAGACTAGATAACAACTAGTTAAACAATAACTTCAAACAATAAAAGCAATATTTGTTAAAATAAAAAGCTTTAAAAAAATCCACATTCATTATAATTAAAGCGCATTTGTTTAAATTTTGTTAAAAAGCGTCATTAAAAATAAATTAAAAAAAAATTAAAATAAAAGAGCTCTCCTTGTTCTCTGTGGGAATTAAAGTTTGGTGTTATTTATAAAGTTTATTTAACAAAAATATTATTTATATATATATTATCTATAATAACAATCTATCATTATCTATTTATAGCAACTAATGAGTTTTTACACGATTAACATCCAACCGATACATTTGCGAAATAGTTTTCATCAGTCTTAATCAGTCTAAAACTTTTTATATAGTGTAAATTTTACTAAATAAACAAATACAAAAAACTTTAATCCAAGAGGGGAAGTATTACATGATATGTACGTGGTTTTTATTTTAAGACGTAAACAGTATTACTGTTGCAAAAAGAATCCCATATACTTTAGGATACTCCACACATGTGACTCTTTACTCAAGTTTACAAGTTAATATTACCAAAATGTTAATAATTAATAACCAAA